CAACGGGTTATTTATTGGCAAGTGAGGCGCCCCCGACTTCCCACAATGAATTTAGCAGTTGCAGTTGTTGTTGTTAAGCCAGTTGTTGTAGTTCGTCTTGCGAATCTGTTGCAGCTGCAGCAGAAGGAAATTGTGAGCATTGATACGCTGCAAATGCAGCATATTGTTTGCATTGCAAGCTCCAAGGCTCAACAGCAACACACACACACACACACACACACACACACATGAGCATGCATAGACAGCCGCCAGCCAGCAACCAAGAGGAATGCTAGAAATTCCGCAAATCTTGATTGTATTGCCAGAGCGCAGCAGATCAAACCAAAAGAAAAATAGAATAAATACCGAAATATACACAAAAAAAGGGGGCCAACAAGAAATTTCAGGAAAACGGATATCCACACACACACCCTCGAACGCACACACACACACACACGCACACTAACGTGTTAGTGTTTGTAGTGTGCAAATATGCCAGCCAAAAGCGAATGGTGGAAGTCATTGCACAGTGGTGCAAGTTTAGAATCCAATCGAAGAGAAGGAACAATTCCTATGCTGGAGTGAAAGATTCTTAGTTGTTCGAACTAAGTTCCCATATTCCTATATCCCTATACTACCAAAGAAAGAGAAGTAAATTTAAGACCAGTTAATCTATTTACTGACTTTAATCATTTTCTCCAAATGGGAATCTTATTCAAGTTCCACTGACATAAATAAACTTTTCATCGCACGGTCTCAAGCACTATTGTTTAGATCCTTTCGAGCAATTTAATATTTGACAGAACAAAAAAATATTTTGGAGATGTAGTTTGAGTTTAAGGCTTCTTCCTTAAGTTTTTGAGTCTTGAAATATTATACCATGGAATCTATTTCTCATAATGTAAGTATTGGAATCTTAAATATTTCAGATAAAGGTTGCCAATTCGATTTGTAATTTAAAAACCAATTCATTATAATGCATAATTAATGTTTTAGAATATCCCGGTTTTTTTATGCTATTCAAGTAAGAAGTAGCCCTGGTTTTATACATTTTCCTTTCGAATACCGTTATTTAATATTATTGTTATTATGAGTGCGCGGATTTAGAAATAGCTTTGAAACGTTATGTTTGCAATGCAGACCATTTTCGCAATCTTCGTTGGCGCCATCGAATCTGTATAAACAAGTCGAAAAACTACGAAACTGCTGAAGGAGCTCATTTCTGCGTATGAATTGCAGCCAAATGCAAATAAAAGTGCAACAAATTGCTGCAAAGCTGAAGCTATGTGTGCTCTGCGTGTCCGTGTGCGTGTGTATGTGGAAGGCAAACATTCAAAAAAGGAAGCTTCTTGTGCTTCAAGGCGCACGACAATGGCGACAATGTTGGATAGTTGGTTCCTCGGTTGGCTCGTTGGGAAGTTGCTGATGAGCCTCGTTTAACCTTCCAGTAGTTGGACTTTCTTTGTGCGGGTCTGGCGCGGAAGTGCCAAGAGTACGAGTGTTTGTCGATCTGTGTTTGTATGTGGCCTTGCCACAAGCTGAACTACATTTAAAGGCCACACACACTATGCCATATAACTGCTTGCTTATTTGCACTTGAAATTCAATTTTCGTCGGCATACGATGCGTATGTGCAACGCACGGCAGGTGCTTTGTGCGCGTGTGTGTGTGTGGGTGTGCGAGTGCAAAAACTTTCTAGACGCTTTTATCAATAATTTTCCTTTAGCAGCAGCAGACTAACGACCCGTAAGCGAATTATAACAGACACTCTGACGACGCCCCCAAAGAAGAAAGAAGAGCGGCAAAAATGCAAAGTGGGGGAGATATAACAGAGAGCAAGAAAAAAATCAATATGCTCGGCACACCTGAAAGTTTAGACCGTGACCACAGTGGGATATTAATAAAGCCGAACTACCTTTACCTAACAAAGTGGCTATATAAATATGTAGTATGTACATATGTATGTATAAGTTTGTGGTACCTTTGATCGCCCCATACACTTATTAGTTTTCAATTTAGATTTTGTCGAATACATTTCTTGAAGTCAAATAGCTTTTTCCAATTACTTGGCAGTGGTTCGGTTCGATCTGGCAAAATTTTATGTATTATCGAAACGGAATGTTTATATGTAGTAGTTTTTTCGAATTGTGCCTTAAAGACGGATGATTAATTGAACCTTTAGCTATTTACAATCTCACCTCGGAGAACTCTGAGATTCTATACTTCACAAGTATACGAGTATACCACAGTAGACAGCAAAATATTTCAATTGAATGAAAAGTAAGGGAATAACATCGCTGTGAAAAACTCAACCTTGTTTTAAAAAAAAGTAACTACTAATTCATATTTCATTCATCTTTCAGAATATGTTACTCATGTATTTAGATGGCATTGGAAGACATTACAACAGGCATATTCGAATAAATCGTTGGAGGAATTGCTATCAAGAACTAGCCATGGGAGCTCAGTTCAGAGACGCTGAAAAGATTCGGTCTATCTGCTCGCTTAATAGTGCATCTTATATAGCACTTTCGTAAAAGTCGCCGAGCTATAGGTAGGTTTGTGCGCAGCTTGACTGTATTTCACACTTTTGCCAAAAATTTTTGTAATTACGCGCTGGCTTTATACTTAGTATGACTAAGCGCACAAGTGTTTGCTGCCAGCATTCCCCCCATTTTTGCTTCTTCACACCCACAGTTTTAGCGGCATGTGAAGTTGTGTCCATTGTTGAATTTTTTCTCTAGGTCGCGACAAGTTCGACAACAGCGATGACAACAACAACAACAACAATAATAATGACGACGCCGACGCGTTCAAGTGCAATTTCAGGTGGCCAAAAAATGTGCGTTGTTATTGTTTTTACGTCTTATACGAGTGAGTAGTGTGTGCCTGTTTATACTTGTGTGCTGTGTGTGTTGGCAGCAGCAGCCGCAGCAGGCAAACAATAAACTTTAATAATAAGCAAATAATAAAAATATAGAGGCAGACTGTCGCGTCGTCTTTGCGCGCTCGCGACGTTGACAAAGCGTAAGCGTAACTAAAAAATGACTAAAATGAGTGGCGGGCGTGCAAAGCGTCCCAAGCCCCAAGCCCAAAGCCAAATGGCAATTGCACTCACATACAAACACTACACATACACACACTCACACTCTCTTTAAAAAATAAATAAATTTCGCTCTCACAGGTGAGTGTTGGCGGCTAGCGGTTCATTTCATTTTCATTTACTTTGTTTGCTTCTTTCTTCTTGTTAGTATTGTCAAGCGAATTTTTCAACTTGTTGCCTGCCCGCTCTACGCTCAATTGTAATGAGGCAGGCTCTCGGCGCACTCTCCACTGAGTGGAGTTACGCTCTCCTCTTCACTCCATATCCACTCTATCGGTGTGCATTCATGTGTGTGAATGGGAGTGTGAGTGTGTGTGTATTTATACACACACTGTATGTATGTATGTGCAGCGGCTGTTTGGTTTATCAGCACCTCTTCGTATATTTTGCAAGCCGCAATCCAGATAGCACATAGCTGATAAGATTTCGAGCATTATAAACAAGCCCGTTGTACATAAGCCAGCATAGCTGTATATATAGTACATACGTATGTGTGGGTCTCTCTCTGTGTGCGTGCTATTTTGGGCCAAATTGATGTTGTTTACCTGTTGCGCGCATGTAAGTATTTTCGTGCACGTATGTATGTTTGTATGTATGTACATATGTATGTACGAGTAGGTATGCTTGTAGGCCGACCTATGTATGTAGCTGTTGTAATAACGCGCTTTTAATCGCCGTCCCTTTGGCCTCTGATTTTATTATGTAATTAAGTTCGGCTTCCAAGTCGGAAGTTGAATACAAAATCAGGCGTATTTTATTTTTAGACTACACTTTCTTGCCGCTAGATACATACATACATATGTACATATGAACATTAAATTGGCGAGCGGTGACTGATATACTGATATAGGCGGACTCTATGAATCACAAGTTTAATGCTTATCCAGCCATAAAGCGAAGACCTGATATACATAGTATACCTAGTATGCAAGCGTCAGCGGCCATAAAACATGACTGACCTATATATACATACATACTTGTATGTATGTATGTGCATACCTACATAGTATATGGGAACTATTTTACATACAGTCATGATCAAAGCAAAAGGTACACCGCTCGCTTCAAACTGAAGAGGCCTGCATTTCGCAGTAGAGCTTTGTTTGAAAGCGAAAATACTATATAATCCTGAACTCCCAAAGATGAGTCCTAAAGCCATAACATACTATAGATCTACTTGTAATTTGAGAAAATTGTATGTCTAATTTGTGAACATTATCGAATTGGGTATTTGTTATTCATTCAATACTTATTTGTTGGCAAAAATGTGTGCAATAAATACCTAAATATTTATTTTGTATGAAGTACGACAATCAGACTCCATCTCTAGAACTAAATATTCCCCATCGCAATTTACAATGTTACTCAAATAAAGCAACCAATAATGTTTGAATATAAAAATATTTTAGGGATCACTTTGTATCGTTTCTGGAAAAGCAACCAGAAGTTGCGGGAATACCAACTATTTACATTCGCAAACATTAACATATTTATGTTAATGCACCTATTTCATTGATCACTATTGTATGTACAAATACACATGTATATTGTAAAAAGTATAAAGAGAGCGCATGGAGAATTGAGACATATATCGATTGTATATTGATTTTCCGTGCTGATAAAGACGTAATGTAAAAATTTAACACCTCAAAGGGCGGCGTGCCGAAATGCTATCAAATTATTGATTATTATTTATAGAGCATTAAGTTTTTCTTGCCAACTACGTAGTTTTGTTTAATAATAGAGAAAGCAATGCATTTACACACAAGTATTTTACGGAAGTGCTTCGATGTATAATTTAATTAAAATTATTTGGCATACCATGGGTTAACATTCGACGAGAACTATACTTGCATTGTTGTTGTTGGACATTTGTAGAAAGAGAGTAAAAGGGGAAAAAGAAAAAAAAAACACTCACCCGCCTGCTCGGACGTTGGAGCAGTTGTTGCTGCTAAGGGCGTGAGGGGGGCGTTGAAGGACTGTTGTTGTTGTTGTTGTTGCAGTTGCTGTTCCTGCTGCAGCTGTTCTAATTGCTCTGCATCCGCATTCTCCTCAATGGGCGATTGCAGCTTGGTCAGTGAGTGCTGAGGGGTTACGGGTAGCGGTTCGTTGCGCTCCTGAGAGGCCAGGGCATTGGCTAATATCTCGGTGGCCTGTTTATCGGTCATCTGCTGGACACGCTTGTTCTTCAGATGATGGGGTGTGTCCCTTCAAGGAGTAAACGGTACTTCACAGCTGGCCCAACATTATGAGTCTATTATAGTCAACTTACCGTCTGTGCAGCTTGGGCGGACGCTTGTAGAAATCATCGTCCTCGCCCTCGACTTGGAAGCCAACACGCCGCTCGGACTCCTAGGGTTAAAAAATAAAGTAAACTACATGTTCAGCACCAGAAGTATAAACTGCTTTTGAGGAGACACTTACAAAGTCCTCCTCCTGCTCGTCATTAGCGCCAACGTCGGAGGCGGCGGGCGTGGCTGCTACAACTGCAATCGGCGTTGTTGTTGCAGCAGCTGTGTTGTAATTGTTGTTGTTGATAGCGGCTAACTCATGCTGTGAGTTACCCTGTGCGGTTTGTGGCACTGCTATGGGTGTTGGTGTTGCTGTTGTTGCTGTCCCCGTTGGTGAAACAATGCCCACACTTGGCTGTTTGGAATTCAACACAGCAGCTGGTTGTTGTATTTGCTGCGACACCGTTGGTGTGTTGACCTGCTGGTGATTATTCGATATGGTTCGCGTTTCCGCTGTGGTTTCTGTCACGACTGGTCTGTGTCCATTCTATGAAAATAGTGGTTCGGCGTTAATAGAAAATAAAAATGTTATTAACAGACGAAGTATGTAATTAACAGCGGCATGTGAAACGAAATGTAAAGCGAATGTAAGAAATAAAAAAGATTCAAAGAATTCAAAAGAATTTTAAGGCATTATTATTCTTAAAAAAATATTACATACTCGTACATACATAGATAGATAGATAGGTAAATGGATAACAGAAAGCACTTAACATTAAGTACATGGTATAAATGAATAGAATAGAGTAATACTGGAAAATTACGATTGAATGCCCAACACCGCCAAAATGTACTGCAATACACGCTCTCTACAATAAGCCGATTAATTTGTTTGCTTGCGCCTTCTTACCTCCTCGGGCAATGCCACCAGATTGGCATTCTCCTCGTGCCGACTACGCTCCACTTTCAACTTTTGCGCCTTGGCCTTCAGATCCTTTGGATGCGGCGTGTTCTGGCGCACAAATGGCGTGTCCTTCTCCTGGGCGGGCTCCTCGAAAAACTTGACCACAGTCCGCGAGGGCTCGCGCTCCTCATATGGCTCGGAGTCCGATTCCAGGTCGCGTGCTGCGATAAAGTGCAAAATGTTCGAATCAATAGCTGATAAATGGCTGTGTGGATCGCACATAATAGTAGTTCTAGTATATAGCATGCACTAAGACGATCATAGCTGGATGGTTAGGTATGCATATACTTGTATGTGTAAGTGGTATACTGATATCTCTATAATGAACGCATTGTACGCCTCTGCTCTCGCTACTCGGGCTACAGACATCAAATTCAAAGTCAATAAATTTACGTTATTGTTGGCAATTAAAAAGCAATAGCAACAGCAACAACAACAACAACAAGAACGGGAACCGCACTATTTTGGACAGCCACCTCTCGTAAACAGTTCGTCTAAGCACTTTTCATCAGTCATGGTGTGTGGTGTGTGTGTGTGTCATAAATTTAACACCGCTGCGTAAACAACATAAAAGTTGCAACATGTGGGTAATCAGCAGACACCACCCCCCGAGCAAATAACCTGTGGCACAACAAAAGCAGCAATTGTTGGAGGGGCTCTCCGATAAACAGATGCAAATTGTTGTTTATGACGGAATTAGATTTATGCCTTAAGTAGCTGCATCCCCAGCCCTAACCCCAAACCCCATCCAGCCACGTCCAAGCTCACAGTCTCTACTGATTTGGCACTGCGAGACAAACTACGAAATTTTTAAATCCAGAAAAGAAGAAGCGCGACCAAGTCGAAGACATTGTTGTCGTCACTTCGTCTACTGCTGCCCAATGGAAACATTTTGATGGTTGATTGCAGTTAAACGATACAATTCTATACTACAAGTATTATAATGTTCTTGAAATGAAGATTTATTAGAGGCGACAATACTTGTAAACTGCTCTTCTTCTTCGTTAATATGCTTATTTTAACAAAAAGTGTTTTACCTCTACAAATAATCTCCATTTAGAGAAATTAATGTAAGAAAATAGCGATGCAACTGTTATCGATGACCGATGCAATACCATATATCGAAGATGCATCTCTGTTTGCTCTTAACATCGGAAATTTGGGGGCGCTTTTTGATTTTTGATTCCAACGAAATTACAGAGGAGATGGGTTTGAGAATAATTCATTTAAATAATAGAACAAATTCGAAATACGTATCTCAAGTTTTTAAGAGCCAATCACTTTTTTGCGGACTATTTACATATTTCTTGCTACACAAATTAGTCTCTCATTGATCGGAAAGTCTAATTTTGTTCAAACATCGATTTTTTTTATTTAAGAAGCATCGATATGCACGAGAGTCGATGCTTACATCTAAGCTTATATCCCTAATCTACAGACCAAGTTTGGTTTTTGTGGGCTAAGCCGTTTCGGAAATCTAGGCGCTCATCCAGACGGACGGAGTGATCCGTTGGCATGTTTTATTTCGAATTTTATCGTCATGTAATTGAGAATATAGCTACTTTACCCGAAGGGTATAAAAACAGACTACAGAAGCGAATACCAGTGAACAATTACGAATATTTAAGGGATAGCTGAGGTCATCCGGATGCTTACCATAAAGGCAGTGAACGATTATAAGATTTAATGCCATGGTGTCAGAAGCGCTCTTTTGTGCCTGATAATCAATAGCCTTTATTTGCAGATTTGGAGATTGATTTGATAGGCTGGCAACGCTTCTACATATCGGAATTGTCGCTGCTGCATCGCTTTAAGCGTTATCTCAACTTAGTTTGTTCATATTTCCAACCGTGCTATGCACACAGCGGGGTGTGTCATCAACACTGCCGATTAAATTCGGCTAGGTCAGCCAGAATGGGCCTAATACATACACACATACTCGTATGTATGTACATACTGTGCACCGAGTCCATATGTGGGCCACATACAAGTAGTATGAAGATTTATGTAAATGAAAAAACTAGCAATAATAACAATAATGCCTGGTGTCGTTATTTTTCGTCATTGTTTTCATGTCGGCGACGGCGTCTAGGCGTTTGGACTTGACTCCCTATGGCTTAATTGGATAATTTGAGCGGCGTTTAGCGACGCGACTTACATAAATGGGGACAGACGGCCAGTCAGACAGCCAGTCTATTGAAAACAATAAAATGCGTTTGATCTTGAACATGCTTCACACATCAGTGTTAAGTCTATAAAATAGCAAATACGAGCCCCAGTAGGAGAAGATAATACGTTCAAGTAAACATTATTTGAGAGCCACACTCATTCACAGCCGACGAGCTGAGCTGAAAAACGTCGCCATCGAAGCTTGTCTCGGGAGCTTGATGTAAATATGGCCAAAAATAGCTCAGCTAGTAGCCGATGATATAATCCATTCGTTTGTATACAAACCAAGGAAATGTATAAAACTAGTTTTTGGTTTCGATTGCGCGAATTGAGCGGAAATCCAAACAACAGTTATTCTGAATACCAAAGCAGCGTGTGTAAAAAATAAATAAATGAACAATAAGAAAACAAACAACCTTGCTTGTGCGTTAGTCTGTAGTGGACACTACTACCACATTAAAGCCAACGATTAAACTGAAAACATGTTAAGGTTTACTCTTGAATTCAAGCTCAGTTCGTGAATGAGCTTAGAGTTTAATAACTGATTAACTGATGAGAAGCTTATACGCCTATCTAGCCATATCGGATTTTGGGGAATCCTCACACCTTACTTATGGAAAGAAACCGAACTACAAGTATTTCCGCATATATAGTAATACTGAAAAGTAGAAAATACTTTGAGAGCCAAAATACTTGTAGTACTAAATCGTAGTTAGCTGTCGCTTATCAATAGTGTATCAATATAGCCTCTAACCCAATCGAGATTGAAATATTTTCAAATACTATATAATAAGGGAAAGTGATTAAAAAGAGGTGGGTTTGCAAACTCATCTTATCTATCAACTCTATCCCAATACACAATAATGCACTATAAATCGAAAATGAATAAACTTAAGATTTCTCTTTATAAATCAAGTCAATTTGTGCTTCCCGCGAACTCAATGCGACAATCACCAGCAAATACTTGTAATGCAAACAAACTGAAGAAATTTCGCCGAATTCTGTCAAAGACATCTGCCACCATTCTCAAGAGGGCCTTTCGAGCTATGATTATGGCTGGTTGCGTGACCCAATTGCCTTAAAGAAAACAGATTTAAGACGAATTGATATCTTCTGTAACTCATTGTCGCTCTGCGACTGAAAGGGTTAAAATATATATAGTACTTGCATCGGTCAATATTGATAAGACATCGGCATTTAGTAAATGATATCAAAAAGCTATGGAAAATCATAAGCAATGCAGTTCAGATTTTAAAAACAAGCCATTTTATAAGAGGCAACAAATTTACCTAATATCGATATATAACAGGAATTATCCCAATTATGTTCGTTTATTGCTGATAAACAGCCTCATTAGACACTTCTTATGCCAATTCCTGTAATATTTTTTATTTGCCTGAGAGGTTCCACTGTTAAGTGTCTGCCTGACAGCTCATTAATAGTGGCTTGTTTTGGTCTCGTAAACGTCCAGTATTTATATATATATATTTTTTTTTATATTGCCACACTCGTATCAGCATCGCCGGCACGATCGTAATAATAATTACGCAGCCAATATCGGTCCAGGCACATGACGTCATGAATGTTGACATCACTTCAAGCACGCAATCAGACATGAGCATTCATTGTACATGAATAAAGGGTACACTCGTATTTTGTGGCAACAAACAAAATGTTTGTAACTGATCGGAGCTTTGATCTCAGCGCAATCGATGGATACAAATGATCATTGCGGAGAGAGAGGGAGAGAACTGACTGTCGAGTCGAGCCGTCAAATTAATGGAACATAAAAACAGCAATACTATACTATATACTTGTAATAACATAATCAAATCAAACTACAAATCGAACGAGCACGCACCACCCAAGTGTGTGCGAATCGGGGGGCGGCAGTGGGAGGAGGTGGAGGAATGGGAATGGACTGGGTGTGTGCGTCTTCAATACCTCGCTGGTTGCGCGGCAGAGAGGTGGCCAACGCCCGTAAATACTTGTTGTTATTTCACGTATGACGTCATTGTTGTGATACAAAACTGGTTTTCTCTTTTGATAACTCACAGAACAGAAGAGCATGGTGTTTAGAGCACGGAATGCCGCTGGCCAAGTCGCGACTTGTAACCCCGGTCAGCATTCAAATAAATGTCGGAATTGCGTCTTATAGTAGATCAGCTGTATGAGATTTTAATGATCGGTTCAATAAGGCAGGCATGCAAGTTATAATGAGTGGGGCAGAGCGGGGCAGATGGGGGTGCAAGGGGGCAGAGCGGCATGCTTTCTTAAAGAGGCAGTCATGCTGCAAGCTGTGTACATAATTAGAGTTGTGTCGGCTTCATTGAAAACAGTTCAAAGTTCAAAGTACTATGCTATGTAGGCTACATTCAAGTTCTGGACTATTGGAGGTTCGGGTTATTGGGTTACAGATACGTATGCTTCGATATTCAATGTTTCATTTGGAAACCGTTTCAAATTGATTCCACTTTTAAATGTTTATCTTTTAAGGTTGCTCGGCATACTATTTTATTCTTCATCTATTCTATCTACATTTAGTTCAGCTACTTCTTCTCAATATACAATAATATTTGTCATAATCGTTGACTAGATCGAATTCCAGTTTTTCAAAGTGCGGCAAATTTTGAGAACTTTATAAATGTTTTGTTATGACATTTGAATATTGAACTAAGTTATTAACTGCTTAATTGCTATAATAATAATGGAAATAAAAGTTCAGATAAAAGCAGAATTTTATGATATTGTTCTGTTCGTATTTGGGGAGAATCGGAAAATTTTAGTAAAATAATACTTATTTATATAATAAAAAAAGTTCAAAAGCGATCGTTTAATACAAGTCGAGAATAAACATTATTTGATTTGGAATCAGAGTTGTGTGAACAAATTTTGTGGCCGCACCATATAATAAAATATCTGCGCTAATCTAAATAACGTCCAGATTTTGCCAAATAGCTATTAATCTTAAAGCAACTAAAATTTGTATTGCATGTGTGTGTATTTTTAACTGCGCTCAGCAGCCCGATAATCAAATATGGTCCAATATAATAACATGATCGGCTTTAAAATAAATCAAGTTCAATAGATAAATATTGTGTTTATTAGCTGAGCTTCGATTTGTTTTTGGAGAATAGATGAATCGTATAAACTCAAGTATCTTTGAGAGAATCGCAGCAGAGATAAATTTAAACAGATCGAAGCAATTAAGAGCGATTATTTTGCAGCTCTACTATATAGTACTAAGAATAAGTAGGTTTGCTAGTCGAGCTTACAATTATAAGTGTGTATATTCAATATTGTAATTTAGATTGAATACTCTATAGACTATTAGCACAATACACATCCATTAATTGTAGCTAGCCCGCACAACTCTATTACAAATGGTTAAGCTACAGACAGGCGTTATTAATAGGCGTGTTGGTAGTAGACGCAACGCAAACCTTTCTGTTGATAACTGAAGAATTCCGTCGAGTCGAACTTTTCGCTTGATCTATAAAGCGTCTCAGGTGGGTAATCTTTAATGCAATTAATCAGAGGTTTTTAAATTGAATGAAGGTGCATTTGGAACGTGTGTATGGAGCGATGCAGCAAAACAAAAAGTAGAAGAAATTTACATCAAGAATTTTAAAGCATTTAATACATGATGTCGATAAGTATTTATATTTATTTGGGTGTGTGTGTCTATTTGCGAGTGGTGCTTGCATTGATATTTCAATTAAATGAAAGAAACTTTTGCCAAATACATTTTATATTTTGCATTGCTCGGGAATAAATACGTAATACGAAACAGTTGCCAGCCCGAATTTTGAAAAAGAGAACATTTCCCACTATAATGTGTAGAGGGCACTAGGGAGCTCGCAGGTCTGTGGGTGTGCGAGCGTCTGCTCATCGCCCTTATGTAGTCAGCAGAAGGTGCCACGCCTGCTTATCTTATCATCGACACAAAAGAGCGCGCAGAGATTAAAGAATGGCACAATGATAGGGAGGAGCAGCTTTTGAGTCAGAAATATTACGAGTAATGTCGCCGACTCATTCGGTGGCGCTGGCAATGAACAAACGCGCCACAACCACAACCTCAGCCGCAGAAATGAGCTCACCGGCTAACTTGTTTCCAGCATAGCACCAGGCACCAATAGGGGATCTACTTATACTGAGCTGTACTCACCTGGGGTAAGGGGCTGGTATTCTTGCTGGGGCAGCAGGTAGCAGGAGAGCACCTGTTCGCCCGTTTCCGCATCCGTGTCCGGCTGGAATGTGAGCAGCGGCTGCGACTGGTTCTCCGACAGCCACACAGCCTTCAATTGCAAGTTGACCAGCGAATAGGGCAAGTACAACAGCTGATTGCCGCTCACGTCCAATACATGCAGCACCGTACAGTTTCCAAGCTCTGGCGGCAGCTTCTTCAGTTTGTTATCCCGCAGACTGAGGACCCCCAGATTGGCGCACTGCCCGATCTCCAGCGGCAGATACTCGAGCGAATTGCGATCCACATTCAGGTTGCTCAGCTTGGTCATGCGTCCGATGGAGGCGGGCAGTTCGGAGAGTAGGTTCTCCGTTAGTATGAGCTCCTGCATGTTCTCGCAGCTGCAATTAAAATTTAATTCATTTACAAAGGTAGTTTAATTGGATTGTTAGTTCGTCAAACGTGCGAGTCGTTTGAGCTCCAAGTTCTTCATATAAAAACAAGAAAGGAATGCTAAAGTCGAGCAGGCTCAACTTTTAAATACCCTGTATCTCCCACCAAAAAGGAAAATGAAACAAAAAAAAATTGAATTCATTTAAACAAAAATTATATTAATTAAATTATTTAATTAAATTAAATACAGTTTCAACAGCAGCAAGAACAACAGCTGCTAGCAGCGCTGCGGGCAGAGCTGCAGGCATGTAGATGACAAATTTGAGTTCAAAATACCAAGAATTACGGGAGTTATGAAAAACACGAATTGCGGAAGAGTGGGGGGGGGGTGTATCAGAAAAAGACAGAGACTCGTCCTTTCTCGGACTTAGAATCTGGATACCAAGTTTTGTTATTCTTGCTGAGATCCTTGCGTTCATACAGACGGACGGACGGAAGGACAGACGGGCATGGCTATATCGACTCGGCTTGTCATCCTGTCAATAATATCCATCAATAATATACTTGTATATACTTTGTGGGGTCTGCCACGCCTCTTTCTGTATGTTACATACATTCGCACAAAACTAGTATAGCCTTTCACCCTTTGGGTACAGGCTATAAAAAAATGAAAAAATTGTTGTGGCTATTGAATGCAAACTTTATATAAACTAATGTAATTTTATAATAAGTATATATGGTGTTCGATCTAGTGTTTTTGAAATTTTGTTGTTTTTGACAGTGACAGCTGCTTTTTCAGTGGTAGACTTCGGACGATAGACTTTTTTTTTTTTGGGGTGCCGTTATGGGCAGTGATTTTGCAATTAATTAGTATTTAGTATTAGTATTCATTAACTATTCAGGTCCTTCAGACGAATATCGTGCAAGCCATTCATGAGATAGAGCCAGAAACTGTCACCGAGGTCTTGGAAAACTGGGTTAACAGGATGCGCCACAAGAATGAAATTGTGTTCCATAAATAATGCAAACAATACATACTTTCGAATAATCCCATAAAACACACGACAAAATTGATTTCAGTTTTGTTTTGTTTTTAAATGAAACCAGTATAAGGACCATTTAGTGTATTATCAATCAAACATTTATTAATTATTTTTAATTTGTATCTTCTACTAAAGAACTGGAATTTAAAGGTGGCCAAAAAAAGTTATTTAATTAAAAAATGATTTTGGAATACGACCAAGCCATAAGGGATTCAGTGATAACACTAATGAGTTATTTATTTTGCCATTTGAAGCATCTTTGGCCGTACGGGTTTAGTTCATTTCTTTTCATTTTTATATCCATTTTTTTAGGTCTAAAAAGGTTGCTGACTACTTTCTGTTGGGAATGCACCCATTGATATTTTTGTTATATTGATATTTTTGTTATTAGATATTATTGCACTTTTATATTTTTTCAATTTCGTGTGCTTTGTTTGGCGATAAATAAATAAATAATAAAAGGTCAGTTATTGTTCCTAAATTTGGAGCAAAAATAGTTTTAAAATGTTTAAAAATCAGTTCGATCGGATGACAATCGTTATGTTTTGCTGAGTGCATCGATTTTTGGTGTATAGGTTGGAAAAGGTAAATTAAAAGGCTGGGAGTTTAAATGCAATCTTAGCCAACACTTCTTGGTAAATAGACCGACTTCATTCACTTACTTGCCAAGCGTGTCGTTCAGTCGCTGCAGGCGATTCTGGTCGAGTTTTAAAATGGTCAGTCGGCTCAGCTTGGCGATGCCATCGGGCAGTGTTTCGAGCATGTTCTGTGCCAAATCCAAGTCCGTTAGGCTGGCCAGACCGCTGATCTCGTTCGGCAGCTCCTCCAGTCTGTTCTCGGACACATCGAGGTAGGTCAGTTGTGTTAGTAGGCCCAGCTCGGGCGGCAGACGCTGCAGCTGGTTGTGATCCAGCCAGAGCTCATGCAGACCGGGTAAATAGCCCAGGTATGGTGGCAGCTCCTCGATCTCGTTGTCGCCCAAGTCCAGGCGTTTCAGTTTCGTTAACTGACTTATCGATTCCGGCAAATGCTTGAGCAGATTCTCGCGCAGCTCCAACGATTCGAGCTGTGTCAGACTGCCGAAATCGGCTGGCAATGTGGTAAGTGACATGTCATTCAAGCCCAAAACGGTCAGATTCTTCAGCTGCGAGAATCCGGAGGGCAACTTCGGTATGGGGTTCGAGCTGAAATCGGCCACCTGCAGGCTCTTCAAATGTTTAATGTCATCGGGAATGTCTGGTATATCTGCAAAGTATCGAGAGAGGGAGGGAGAAGAGGGAAATAGATTTAATTCGAATTCAAATTCAATTTCAATTGCGGTCACATTATTCACATTTCTGGCTGCTTTGTTGCCAACATTTTTGAGTGCGCGCAGCTTTATTGATTTTCATATTACGCGACCTATCTAGCCATGCCTTCCACTTGCCCCCACACCCACACCCACACCCATACATACACACACACACACACATACGCCAAGGGGGCTTGCTGCCTTCTGCTCACGCATGAACAACAAGGAAGGCCCTCGATTATTTATTAATAAACTGCTATAAATATTGAGAGTGAGATTTTTTGCATTTGAACAGAAACAAGGACCGGCGCGAAGAACAACGCATAATGGGACAAACACTGACCGGCACAATTATTTTGACAAAACCACACTCATATGTTATATATTTATTAGTATGAGATGGTTGTGGTTCAAATATTTATACCCTGTACTCGTAGGGTAAAAAGGGTATATTAGGTTTGTGCAAAGTATGTAACATTCAGAAGGAAGCATCTCCGACCCTATAAAGTATATATATTCTTGATCAGCATGACGAGAGAAATCGATCTAGATATGTCCGTCCGTCTGTCCGTCTGGATGAACGCGAGGATCTCAGAAACTATAAAAGCTAGAATAACCAAAGTTGGCATCCAGATTCTCCAAGGTCCGAGTAAGGACGAGTTTATTTTTTTTTTTTTAATTTTCCCCCCCTTCCCCCGCTACAGAATTTCGTCAATAGCGTCCACATTTCAAATGCTACCTAAACCAAACTTTGCACACATAATTTATATATAATTGTCTACTGTTGTTATAGCCTGTACCCAAAGGGTGAAAGGCTATACTAGTTTTGTGCGCATGTATGTAACACACAGAAGGAGGCGTGGCAGACCCCACAAAGTATATATATTCTTGATCAGGATGAGAAGCCGAGTCGATATAGCCTTGTCCGTCCGTCCGTCTGTCCGTCTGTCTGTCCGTCTGTCCGTCTGTCCGTATGAACGCAAGGATCTCAGAAAGTATAAGAGCTAGAATAACCAAACTTGGTTTCCATATTCTCCTAAGACCGAGAAAGTACGAGTTTGAGTTTTTTTTCGATGCACCCCCCCACTCCCCCGCAATTCGTGTTTTTTCTTATAACTTCCGTAATTCTCGGAATTTTGAAATCAATTTTGGTAGGTACATCCAGTTAGTAATGTGTCCGTGTGCCAAATTTCATCATGATAGGTCAATTCTGAAGAAAGTTATAGCCATAAGTAAAATCGCTGCTCATGCGCTGCCTCTGTCGGCAGCGCTGCCCGCAGCTGTTGTTGTTGTTGCTGCTTTGGTTCAACTTTGTGCTGCATACATACACGCATATAAACACGCATAGGTACGTGATGTAAATGTATGCTGTTAAAACTAAACATAAACATATATTCTAATTTAATTTAATTAATTAATTCATTAATTTTTTTTAATAATTTAATTTTTTTTTTAAATTTTTTTTTTTTTAATTTTTCTTTTTTTGTGGAGAGTACAGGCTATTTTACTGTCGGGCTTGCTCGACTGTAGCGTTCTATCTTGTTTTATTTTATTTTATTCAATTCGGTCAATTCTAAGAAAAGTTATTAGCGAAACAAATTCTCGCCAGTACAACCCCCACAAACTGCAGCAACAAGTTCGCTCTTCTTCTTCCTCTTTTTGCTGCTGCTTTGGGTGCATATAACTCAGTGACGGAAGTTTACCTGGGTACAGGGTATTACACTGTCGGGCTTGCTCGACTGTAGCGTTCTCTCTTGTTGTTTTGCTTTCATCAAGTTCTATTACCTAATAATGAGTCGAATCAATATTTCCAAATGCGCATTAGAGCTGCATGCAAAACACACAGAGTTGGTGTCTATTGGCAGTAGAACCTATCGATTTCTGGCTTGTTTCAGTAAAACAATTACAGTACCACGTTTAATTTACTAACTGTTTAAAAAATGATGCACAGTTGTAAACACTTTATTGGATCCGGAAACAAAACAAAAGAAGTGTTGCAACACAGGTGCTTAAGCTTCTGCACTCCTTGCAGCCATTCCATTCCTTACAGAGCCAGGACATAAAGTATGTTGTCCTTAGCTGTTATGGTTTGCAAGTTCTCGGTGTTCATACAGACGGACAGTCAATCTAGCCAGAATCAGAGACTTTCTAGACTTAATAAAAAAGCTATTGTAAGTGCTGCAGAAAATAACATGTTATTTAATTACTGTACTGTTTACTGTTTGATTTCAATATTCATAAAATTTCTTGCAAATCAAGAAATAAAAATTGGGACTTCAACTGGGCGGCACTAGTATAGAACAGTAATAAAACCACTACATTATATCACAACTAAATTTGACTTGCATTTGAATATAATAAATTTTCATTTTTCATCTCATTTTTAAAGCCATAATAATAGAACAGTATTTTCGCAGTATTCTTGTAATATTTCAGATGGGATGCGACAAAACTGAGACCTCAAGCGATCACTTCTATTGTAACTAGTTTTCGGAAAACATCATCAACACAATACAAAAGTACATAAGTATTTTACTTATGTATTGATATTTTTATACCCTGTACCCAAAGGGTACAAGGGTATATTAGTTTTGTGCGAGTGCACATGGAACACACAGAAGGAGGCTTGGTAGACCCCACAAAGTATATATATTCTTGATCAGCATGACAAGCGGAGTCGATATAGCCATGTCCGTCTGTCTGTCTGTATGAACGCAAGGATCTCCGAAAGTATAAGAGCTAGAATAACCAAACTTGGTATACAGATTCTCCTGAGCCCGAGAAAGGACGAGTTTGTTCATTTTTTCTGATCCGACGATTTTTTAACGATTTTCTATAACTCCCGTAATTCTTGGAATTTCCGTATACCAAGTTTCATTATGATAGAATGATCGGAAAGAAAGTTATAGCCATATAACCAGGCCCAATGCACAGATACATACATATGTACAAGTACACAAACACGCATAAGGCACGATTCTGATGTAAATATAAATGTATGTATGCATGCATGGAATATTTTATATTTAATTTAGTTAATTAATTAAATTAATTTAAATTAAATTAATTAATTAATTAAATTACTTTTTTGTGGGGTGGTACAGGGTATTTAAGAGTTGAGCCTGCTCGACTTTAGCATTCCTTTCTTGTTGTTTATAAATTCTTGGAATTTTGAAATCAATTTTGGTAGTTACATCCAGTTAGAGCTTATGTGTCCGTGTGCCGTGTTTCATCATGATAGGTCAATTCTGAAGAAAGTTAGTAGCGTTCTCTCTTGTTTTAATTATTTTAAAGAATTTTTTTTTCATTTTTTCCTTTTTGGTGGGAGGTACAGGGTATTTAAGAGTTGAGCTTGCTCGACTTTAGTGTTCTTTTCTTGTTATGTATTCATGTATTTTAATATCGAGATGCATTTAAGGACATCAGTGTCTTTGTATTTACTTTCTCCCTTTTTTGTTGTGCATTACATTTGGAGAAAACTGTGAGTGACTCACAAGTTGTAGTTATCTCTACATAGCAGCTAAAAAAAACATTTTTTAAGATGTAACTAAGCTTCTTTTTATTCCATGTTTGCATTTTTGTCGGCAAAACTTTGAAGTTGACATTGAAAAGCAAATAGTAAAGAGTATTAGTGCTTTTGGTTCCGTTTTTGCATTGATTTTCTTTAAACTAAGAAAAAACTATTTCAAAATCTTAAAATGTTCTTTTTTGATCTTCCATTTGATGCGATTTTTAAGAAATTACCCGTTTTTGTATATTAGGGTTTCAGGTCTTTGTGGAGCAAATGTTCACCTAAGACGGCTGTTTTGGCCCTCTTCACCAAATTAAATAATTCTATTATTTATTTTGTGCACACTACTTTGCTTTTCTAATTATGTAATTTCTATTGATTTTTGTGTTTTCAATTAAATCTTCTTCTTGTACGTATGCTCCATAAATCATTTGGAAATAAATAATTAAATACCATTATGCTAATTTTATGTGGTGTTTTGGTCAGCTGGTACGAGTACAAGTAGGTACCATGGGTCCATGAGTATTACCAAACATTTATGGGCCATCCAATTTGCCTATGCAAATAAAGAAGCCTAGAACGCAAAATGGCAATGGACCCACAATTTGCTGTTTGCTGCTTGGTTTTCACGTGGCACGAACGCTCCGTTATAGTTGCTATTCTTGTTGTTGTACTTCTCCTCTGGTGGCGACCATGTTGCGGGTTTTGTTGATAGAGTGAGGCGAAGCGTAAAATGACAAACAAAACTTGTTGATCGAATAAAATTCCAACGGCCAAAGCGGAAATGCGCCCACAAAGTGCCATGCCACAAAAGCGTGCGCATGTAGTATGTGTATGTGTATACTATAAGTGTGTGTAAGTGTGTGTGCTGACGAGTGTGTATGCCACCGATACACACCTTGCACCTATAAACAAACACACACGCCTCCTAACACAGCGCTGCTTTGACAGCCACAACAGCAAAAGGGCTGGATGGACGTTCGTCCGTTGTGGGCAGTCAGTTGGGCAGGCATCCTTTACAATGGCGTTCCTGTTGACCTAGTTACAGGATACACACACACACACACACACACACACACACACACACACACACACACACACACACACACACACACACACGTACCCTCAGACGCACATTCATATACGTACACGGCAGCGCCCTTTTCAACTGCTCACCTGTTAGCTACATTTGTGCGCGTGGGGGTCACGAGCCTTCGTCGTTGTTGCCAACATCCACGTCCAAGTCGACGTCCAGTCGAGTTCAGCTCAGTTCAGCTAAGTCTTGTAGCTGTCGCTGTCTCCATTTAAAGTTACTAATACGACACGTGGGACCCAATGAAAGGGAACGCTCTTTGTGCGAGCGCAACACCAGCTACCAGCTACAGAACAGGATGCCAGGACATGCTCAAAGTCTTGCTCTTGAACAAAGACATTGTTCTATAG